CTCATGCATGAGCTAGGCTGTGGGGGGCTTAGATCCCACCATACACAAACGCACACTCCCTTATAAGAGCTGTCTAACTTTCTGCACAATCTCTGTAAATGATGGCACAAAGTTGATTGACCCATACTTATTATTGAGCAAGTGGCAAACGTAATAGGCAACCACGATCTGTAATAGATCGTCTGTGGGGACACATTGCTTATCTTCAGGTAGACAAGGTATAGGTGCGGTTGTCACATCACTAAGGCTCTGTAGGAAATTGTCCTGTTTTTTCTAAGTGGCATTGTATGCTTCATTGTGGCTTCCCGTAGCTTGGCAAGTTGGCTATGCTAGCTGTGCCGGTCTGACTGTAGTAACCTCCAGTTACAGTCTCACCTCCACTGTGAACCAAGTAGGCAGTCAGGAAGCCCCAGTGTCTCAACCTTATCCCTGTAGTGTAGATAGGGTTGCCAAGTCGACTCACCCCTCGGAACAGGGGAGCCTTGCCGGTGTCCAGGAGGTCTTGATGGGCACGTGTGCACAAAGCGCGCGCGCCGGCAGCACATCACCAGAAGTGACGTGTGACGTTGCTGACGTTGGGGGCGTGGCCGAGCTCGTGGGGGGGGGAACCATATGGTTTTCCCCCCGACGAGCTCAGCCACGCCCCCAACGTCAGCAACGTGGCTGCGTCACCTCTGGTGACGCAGCTTCGGGGGCGGGGTCCCCCCAGGGCCCGATTCCGCCGCGGCGGAAACCAGGCCTCCGAAGCGGGGGATTCCCCGTCCCCCGGCCCCATTTGGCAACCCTAAGTGTAGGTGGAGGAGAGGGCACTATACATACAGGGTTGTTGTATGATTACTGTGATCACTTATTTTAAATGTCCTGAACACCTGAATCTTTGGGGGGAAAAATCATAACTATTTTAAAAAAAATCAAGGTCCATTGTATACAAACAATAACAGTTCATATCCATTTCAAAGAATGTACTTTTGTCTGTTTTCAAAACTTTTTTGTGTGCTAAAGTTCAAAATGACTTATAGACTTCAGTCTGAAGAGAGAGTATAGCGCTTATCTTTGCTGATATTTCATTTTATAACATTTTTCTGGCCTAGCCTAAGATGCTTCCACATGGATTTAAGCAAGATGGGTATCTGTGTTAGTCTGCGTGTAGCAGTAGAAAAGAGCAAGAGTCCAGTAGCACCCTAAAGACTAACAAATTTTGTGGTAGGTATAAACTTTACCATTGCTCACTTCTTCAGATACCTCCAAAAGTGAGCAGTGACTCACGAAAGCTCATACCCTGCCAAAAATTTTGTTAGTCTTTAAGGTGCTACTGGACCCTTGCTCTTTTCTACTGCTACTGATTTAAGCAGTAAGCATGAGATATTACAGAAGCAGATAGTGGTGGGATTTGGTCATACCATGCAATTATTTTCATGCAGATATTTGCTGTTCGTGGCTGTTCATACACACCTGATAGGAGGAAATCTGTGTTGTGATAGTTTATCACGCTGCATCTGCTTTATTCCTCATCAAATGTGTGCATTGTCTGTGGACCAGTGTGGCCTGAGTCTGTGTTGTGATCTGTTGTGTTTTTAACCCTTTAGGAGTCGTTCAGTTCATTGTGGCATTTTGACTGTCGCGGGTTCTCTTATATATCCAGGCTGTTGTCGCGTTGTGGCTGTTCCTGTAGTCATTTGCCTTGTGTTGGTTCCAGGGAAGCTGCTCGCGAGTGTCGCAGGAAGAAGAAGGAGTATGTCAAATGTCTTGAAAACCGGGTGGCTGTGCTTGAAAATCAAAACAAGACTCTCATTGAGGAACTCAAGGCCCTCAAAGACCTTTATTGCAATAAAGCAGAGTAACGGGCTCTTGGCCGTTGGACCTTTGTGCTGTGAACGCTAATCAAGGCATGAGATGAAGCAATTCTACAGATTGCCATGTGACCCTTGAGGGAGGGGCAGGATGTAGCCCTTGTGATACCTGCTTTCTTAGATGTTTTCTAAACAGTTGGGAGTTGCTCCAAAAATCAGAAATCATCACGTTCTCTGCTCTTTCATCACTCTGCATACTCTGCTCCACCCTCATCCCCCCCCCCCAGTAGCATGCCAAAAACATGTATTTTTGTTTGCCCTTTTGACTTGTGCTTTTTTCAGGGAAGCTGCAAAAGAATGTCGACGGCGGAAGAAAGAATACGTGAAATGTCTGGAGAGTCGTGTTGCGATGTTAGAAGTTCAGAACAAGAAACTTATAGAAGAGTTAGAAACCTTAAAAGACATTTGCTCTTCCAAGACAGACTAGTGTCAGTACTGAAACTGTGAACTGGCCCTAAAGCATGTACAGATGCTTCTACAGGCAGTGTCTAGTCAACAAGAATTATGACTTTTTCCTCTGTATCATTTGTGTTCTCCCTCCAGCCTCTAACATTCCTGAAACACTTTTGCTGCATTTTTATATATTCTTGGTTGACACTTCAGGTCTTTTTCTCACGAGTCTTCAAAATGAAACATCCGCAATCTCTTCTGCCCGATATTTGCATTAATTTTTGTGTGTGTATTTTTGGTAATATCTGACATGCCACCAGTATTTTAAAGTGATCAAAGATAATGCATCCAACAAAATAAAATGGAAACTACCCAAAGTATCTCAGGAAAGTGTTACATATATATATATATATATAAATATATTAAAAAGTATGTTATGACATACATGTATTAGAATACTAGTTTACAAAATGACTTTATGGCATATTTTTATATTCATCGCTTTGTGAAGAGAGTATTGTATTGCTGTCACTGAGTGCCATGGTTGAAACTAGTTTTTTTTAAAAATAGAACCATGTTGGTTAATCTTTGTAGTGTTTGCTGTTTATTTGGAGCTAAGGAGTTTTAAAATGAACGCTACATGTTGTGCAACATTTCTGCAGACGTGCTTCACGTGTGTCATACACACATAGTTCCATGCCTCCAGAACTGTTGAAGATCTTTAAAAAGAGCTCTTACAAGTTCTCAATGTCTGCTACTGAAAATTAATATTTCTTTTTAAAAAACGCTTCTACGTTGTACCAATGATTCCCTTATTCTTGCTGGATTAGGCCCTTCATGTCCACTCTTTACAAATGTTGTATGAAATACTCTTAAACAATTAGAGTCTCTGTATGACTGTATTGAAGGGCTGAAAATCCCCTTGGGCAAGAATGTGTGCCTTGGGTGGGACGTGCTGTGACTGAAATGTGTTGGGGACATAAATGAGCCCCGAGGAGCTTGTTTTTATCCCTCTTTCACCAGTTGACACACGTGGAAATCGGCTGAGTATTTTTCCTTCATTTTTGCCACTGTGGCTTGCAGTTGTGTGCTTCCCCCTACTCTTCTCAGTACAGACTTCATTCCTTTGTTCAGTAAGCAAGAAATTTAGTGGAGTTTTCTGTTAGTCTGGAGCTCTTAGAAAGAGTCAAATTGATATAGAGCACATTGTGACCTAGCAGTAATAAGAGACTGGCGTTGGGGAGGATTTCCAGTTGGGTAACTGCAATACTACTTCCTTTCCCTATCGCAACATCTGCAGGCATTACACAACACCTACAGTTTAACAAGCTGCAGTATAATCACAGTTCTGATGACTCTGCAACCCAATAATCTGGATGGTTTCTTTTCATTGTGCTGCTGGATAAGGAATAGTAGAACAGGTACACCATGTCTGTTCCAAGAAGAGTCCTGCCAAATGATGAACTATGGATATGTGCTGTGACTGATTAAAGTTTATTCTTCCGTTTAAAAAAAGGGGGGGGGATGGCAGTGAACAATGGGTCTTCTACAGATTTATGCAACAAGTCTTGGATCTGCTTCTAAAAATGCTTCTACAGATTTACAGTGCAGGTGGTTGGTTGAATAACTGCAGAAGACCTCATCTGGCAAAAGGACAAGATTTTTGTATGCTTATAAAGTTTTTATGAAATACTACATATGTCTCACATAAGACAGGCCACTATTGTATCCTCTACACAGGTTGTAAATTGAAGCTGAAAAATAGATTCCACGAGCCCACTCAGCACACGGGGCTGGATCCAGTGACTTCTTTCTGTCAGTTGGATCCAGTGATTCCCTTCTTTGAAGACTTTATGCAACACAGAAAGAGTGGAAGGTGAGCTTTGGAACTATCTAATGGGAATCTGCAGGAAGGAATTGGAACCCCATGTCAGTCTTAGGCATTTTATTCAATTACCTATATTGCCTGTGTCTTCAAGTCAGAAAGATTCAAGAAATGTTCTTTCACACGTTGAAGTTAATAGAACTAGTTATTGATACATGGAGTTGGTTTAGAGTATCCTTAAAGGTAAATTCTGCCGTCACGTTTACACCTCTAGCTGGAAAACCTATCAGAGGCAGGCATGGTGTGACAGGATAAATCAAGTTGCTGTAGGGGGAAACTTGTTTAGAATCAAGGATTTTAGGGGGAAATGTGCTTTTACAGATCTGTCTTAACTGATTGGTAGCTTTTTGTAGCTACTGAATTTTTTAAAAGGTTTTTATATTTATTAAAGGAATTTATCTGTGCCTACACTGTCACCCTATTTGCTTGCATTTTTACAAACAGTTCTTCCCAGAGGCCCGTCTTGGAGTTCAACACTTCACGCACCAATGCTTTATGTCTCGCTGAAAATAAGAGCGAAGAAGATCTTGATTGTTAAGACATTTCTCATTTTATAGACATTTAATTTTCCTATTCAAGTGCTTATGGTGTTCATCATCCCATGTAGGCATCAACTGACCTCATAAGGTAAGTTGTCTTTGTTTTACAGAGAAGGCTCTGAAGCTGAAGACGGTAACAGGCCCCAGAGCCCACTGATCTGAGTCCAGTTCTATATATGCTAATACTTAATCTGATTTCTGTAGTCTGTCTGACCTTTCCAGTGTTCACTACTGTAGGGTTCTCTTTTGCTACTCACTCACTTGCTGCTTTGGGTCCTGCCTACAGCTTCTACAGATGGAAGGATTTCCATCTAGGGGAGTACAAGATCCTCCACCTTCCTGCTCCTACTGCAACCCAAAATGCCTTCTGAAATGCAGCTCTTGGGTGGCAGGGGACTCCCAGGAATACCTACTGGGGAAATTGTAAGTCTGCCATGGAAGTGAGGAGGGAATCATGCCCTCCACACTTGTGTGGAAATTTTAGGCAGGATCCAACCCCACTGTCTGTTCAAATTAGCATTGGGATGCAACAAGATATAACATCCAGTGTATAGCACTTTGAATGTGGTTCTCTATTGGGTCGCAGTACTCTTTCACCAGTGGTCGTCATGCTTACATCTCAGATGACCAATGCATATCCAGGAAATACGAATCATGCAGGCTCTCAGTCCCGCTAAGTGTATCTTGAAGTGTCTGACAGTCAAATGGCAACCACAAGGGGAAAGAGATATCGTTAATTACTGTGGCTTTTCCTGCCCTTTCCTGCCTGGTGTTTGGAGCCGTTACCCCAAGTCCATGACGGTTAGAATACTGATGTCACGCCTCCGTCTTGTTGTCCAGCCAGGCTATTGTTTTGCTGTGTCCATTGTTGTTTTGAAGGCTTGTGATTTCCATGTGGTCTGGAACCTGAAGCTTTGGAGTGAGGCAGCTGCAACCACATTTGAGGGCTGCCTCGGCTTCTGTCGTCAGGCTTTGACCACATCATAAGCTTTACCAGATGCATTTAATGACACTTGTTTGTTTTTTTTTAAACTGCCTGGGGAGAAATAGTGTAAAAGGTGGGAGGGGACTTTTGTTAGCTTCTGTACACAGATGTTACAATTATGTATTTCCTCCACACTAGCTTTGTTCTAGAAATGATTATGCTGGCAGTGGGGGTGGGGGTGACAACACAACAATGACCTGACGAAGAGCGATGAACTTTTCAAAATGAAATTGAGGCTTAACACTGGCAACTTGGTTGCAACGAAGGATTCTGGATGGCTCAATCCTAAATAGATCTGATTAAAATCGAGTGTATAAGGGAATGGGAGGCTGTGGCTCAGTGGTGGATGATGAGCTTTTGGTATTGCTCTAGGAGGTCTTCTGTGTCTTGTAGACTCTGTGGTATACCATAGAGTCTACTCTCCAAAGGTGCCATTTCTTAAAGAGAAACTCTCTCGTCTGGAGATCAGTTGTAAACTCTCTTAGAAAAAAAAAATTATAAGTATATATGGATTCCGTAGATACAAAAATAAGAATACAGCTGAACAGCAACTACAGCATCTGATCGAAGAAAAATCAAATAAGCATAAACGTGCAACCCTGTTCCCTAAGTCTAAACGTCCGTGATGCTAAAGAGAGAGGCAGAGATTTCTTACAGGTTCCTTACTGGGGTTTTTGTGCAGGCTGTGTTTATTTCAGATTTGTCTTTTTCTCCCATGTGGTACATCTCATCTCTAAAGCATGTCTGTGGTATGTCTTCCCCAAGATTCTCAAAAGCATGGCTGCCTATCCCTTTTTAAAAGGTAGGCCATTCTTCCCACAAAGCCCCTTGTGAAAATATGCCAAGGTGGGAAAAGGAGAGCGTAAAACCTTTGGGCTACCATTGCCTACGTGACCAAGCCAGCTTCTCTGTTGTCTCCGGTTGCATTAATTCCTCTACAAATAGTTTTATGGCCACTAATTACTCTACTAATGGTTTTATGGCTACCTCACAGGGTCTAAAGATGTACTTCTTTTTGTATGACTGGTCTAAGGACTAGAAATAAATTGATTGATACCTCACAGGGTTGATGTGAGAATCAAATGGGAGAGAGAAGAATGAGATAGGCTCCTTATGGGTCCTCACTGGGCAGACAGGTGGGGTGTCAATTAAGTTAAATAAACCAACATATAATACTGGTAATGTTATTGCCTAAGTGTTACCTGCTGACCTGTCTTTATAAAAACAAACCAACCTGGGTTTTGGTGGTCCCGTCTCTCCCCTCCCCCCCAGAATGTTGACTGGAATTACAATGGCAGCCTATCCAGTATGGATGAACAAAATGCTGCTAATGCTGCCTAGAGCTTCTTGGAAGCCATTTATTAGCTCAATTTTTTGTTTACTCTTGTTTTTTGGGTATGTTTTGTTTATAATCACTAGCAAAGAGTGCACACGGACAAATCACTGTATCAACAGATTCATTTCTAGCTGGTAAAATTGCATTTATGTGTGTGCCGTGATTTTCCCCCTCCTGAATCTGATGTCCTGAGTCATACTGGAAGGTTACTGGGTTCACAGTGTGGACCAGTGGCACACAACATGGTGCCCACCAAGTGTTTTTAGAAAGTGGATGGAGCTGCCGCCTGCCCTACAGAACCTTTGACTGGCTGTTGGAGATCGGATCAGATGGGCAGATTAAAACCATGTTGCTTTGGTGGCAGCAGGCCTCCACAGTGTTGTTGTTTTTTCTCTTTCTCATTCGCAATGTATTTTTTTAAAAATTGTTCTTGTCCCCTGTGCTTGGGTTTCCTCTGTGCATGCATATGTATAGCTCCTGCGGTGGCCATTTCGTGGCTGC